AAATGCTCCCAAAAATGGCTCCACAGCATGTAAAAATATAATATAAGCTCTGGCGGACTTGGTTCTATGGTAGGTCTTAAAGGGTTAAATGAACAATATGTGTCTCTTATATATAATACATCTATATATACACTGTCAAAGATACTTGTCTTTGAGTGAAGATTCAAGGAAATGTAAATAACTGCAACTTGATTCTTTACTGAAGTTCAGTATTTGACACAGAGTTCAAGCTCACTGCTGTAATATATTCTGTTATATATATATCATAATAATCTGACAATAAATATAATATTGGCCATATGATATTTACATTACCACAGTGAAATGACTTTAGTGTCATGACCAACATTAGCTAATTGTTATTTACTAAGTAATCTTAAAATGACTGTTCAGTACATAAATGAAGCCCAACAATCATGTTTTACAGTCCCGTGGTCTCAGCCTCAGATACTCAACTAATCAAAGTGATGTCTTAAAAAAATGAATGAACAAAAAACATTTTTCCCCTTCATTTCTGTCAAACAATGCTGTATGAAACGTGTCTCGAAATTAGTATCATGGTTTCCAAGCAACCTGAGCAGCGCGACGAAGGCCAGACTGTCCCATTTCACAAGCCTCTCACTTCCGCACTTCTTGTACATCCTAGCACTCGCTGTACCTATTATGCGAACTGCACGTACTTAGGAGAGTGCGGTTGGTGGATTGGACACAGGCAGAGACATTACCATAGGGCAGAGAACTCTAGGAACCAAAAGACTATAGATGATAAATAATGCACAGAGGTAAATCCTGGAACACAAAAAAACTAGACTCAAGGGAGTAACAAAAGAACAGCCACGAGAACATAATTCACAATACAGAGTGACAAAAAACACAGGAAACTCAAAACATGCGAAGACACAGATCAAGAAACACAGACTTTACACAGAACAGAGGGGGCACAGAGAAACACAGAGGGGCAAGGGATCAAAATTAGAAACCACAGAATAAATCACATGAGAACTTGTCAGATTATAATATTATTTATGCCATGTTAGACCCCTAATTAAAGATTATGAATTATTATGTAGTTTTAGTTTGCATTATTCTCCTGAATTAGAAGAAGGTGATAACTATTACATTTGGTAAACTGATCTGCATTACATTAGACTGCTGATTTATTGTGAATGAATGATATTGTTT